AAAGAGCAGCGATGTCGGTCTGGAGACTAAGGTGCACCTGAACCAGCCCATCATCTTCACAATTACTTGCAATGCATCATAAAGCTGGACAATGACTAAGAATGATAGAAGCATAATTGATGCCTTTGATAAGTGGTGCTGGACAGGAGTATTGAATATATCAGGAGAACAAAAAGGTTCATCCTGGAGAGGGTGAAACCAAGCTGCTCCTTGAAGCTCCATCTGACATACTTTGGTCATATTGTAAGGAGGGACCGACCAGTCCTTGGAGAGGGTCGTCATGCTTGGAAGAGTAGGACAGTTCAAGAGAGGAAGAGCCTTGATGCGGTGGATTGACTCAGTGGCGGGTAATAGGGGTAGCTGTATCAGAGAAAATAAGGTTGGCTCAAGATAGAGCAGAGTACATAGAATCTCTGTGAATCACAAGTGACTCAATGGCACATAAAAACATTAGTATTGTACTTTTGTTACAATTATTTGCCATGTTTCTCTGCCTTTTCTCCCCTCTCCTACTCTATCAAATATTTCCAAGGTCATTAAGGGCACCAACATCACCATAAGTGCCTTCTCCCCATGCTCAGGGCCTCTGCACAGCTGGCCACTCACACGTGTCGTGCAGATCTGAATCAGGCAGCCCCTGGCCCTTGGCCATCTTCATGACTGTTGGTTTGCTCAAGTCCATTGTCACCAACACTCTGGATTTTAGTACTGCCTTCCCGTCACCAGGTCTTGTCTCCCAGCGCTTTGCCTCAGACAATGTTCTCCTGTGATCCAGGAGATACTCAGTGGGTGATTCCCAGTCATAGACCTCCAGGCCTTTAAGCCTCGCCTCTCTTAGCGTTAGAGTATCTGATTAAGACTAGGGTGTTGGGTTAGGATTAGGGTGTCAGATTAGGGTTAGCTTAATCTTTGCTGAGACCTGTCTGTCCAGAGTGGACCTTCTGGTGTTTAAAACCATGACGTAACTTCTGGAGCCACACACAAATCACCACGGTGTGAGAGTGGACAATGGGTGAATTTGTACGAGTCTACAGGTTACACACTATACACAGATGGGGAAAGTAGGTATCTGAGGAGCCACAGTACATTGATTTTAATTCCTCAAGGACTATATCCATCGACAGATTTCCCTATTATCTACACAAGGCTAACGTGACCACGTGCCATCTACATCACAGCAGTGCAAAAACCCGGCTGCTTAATGCAGTCGTTTTTATTTCTTCCACATTGTTCAGTGTCAGCCTTGCACATTGGAAATACTCTCCTTGAGTGATCACCCACAAAGAAACCTGATGGAACAGAAGATTTGAAATCGACCAACCAATACAACTTATTGTGCGTGTAGATTTGGACTTCCTTATGTATTCACTGAGGAGCAGAATCTCCAGCCAAAGAGCTTTTTCAGTCTCGCTGTCAGGGAAATGGCTTGAACGTTCTTTTTCACTAACTTTTCAGAGCCGCTGAGGAAGCTGTAGATTCTGGTGCTTTTGAGCAGGACAGACACGAGGTTGTATCCTTGTTCCTCTTGGGACCTAGATCTAGGAAGAAGGACCAGAACCTCTCTGAGCTTCAGTTAATGAGACGAGATTGTATAAGAAAAGTACTTACCACATGATAGGACCTCAAAATAGTTTCAAGTGGAGGTTCTTGTTACCATTTAGTGTGGTGATGGCAGTGGAAGAGAATTATGATGCAGTTTAACTAGTGCATTGTACTTGTTATTACTGATAATTACCTGCTGCAAAGAACTTAAAGAGAAATTGACCCTAAATGAAACAATATGGATGGAAATGTTCCTGGAAAACCTGTCCGCAAATCTGTGAACTTCAAAAATACCCATTCATTCACTTTGATTTAGAAAATTATGCTGCTAGTAATTGGGATCTGGGTGAATAGTTACAGATGAAAAGGCTAATTTGGGATATGCAATCTTTTCCTAATTATGAGAATATATATATATATAGTGCCCTTTGATTAGAATCGGCAGTCATACTCAACAGCGTATGCGCTATTTAGAACCCTTTTAAAAATGGACTCACTAGGGTGTCATTTGCCACTAAATTATAGCATTCATCCGTGGTTGCAAAGCACACTGAACTCCAACTTATTCTAGGGGACAGTGGTTGTCGAGTGATAGAAGTGCTGTCTTGCTCATGGGAGACCTGGGTTCAATTCCCATCCAGGGCACTTCCTTCCTGTCAAGGAGGCTGGAGTGCTGTGTGGTGCTGAACAGGCTTTAGTCGAACCTTCAGACAATGATGGGCTTGGAAGGAAGGCCTGGAAATGTACCACTCAACAATAAGCTTGTCCAGTACCCTTGGACAGGAGTCGGGGACCAGCTCAGTGGCAGGGAACAGAGATCACCCTGTGCTGTGCAGGGCCTCGTGTTTGGTCTGTTGCATTCCACGTCATATTCCACTTGATCATTGCTCATTATCCCCATTTTTAAAACAGAGGATACTCGTTCTCATTTTACTCATGAATAATTGAGACCAATCAGCATGGCTAATTATAGGCAGAGGTGATCCACTCACATATGATTGTGCATGCGGGCTTTCCTATTTGCGATATATTTTTATTAATTACTAAGAAATATTCTTCCCTCCCTCTTCTCATCCATGTTAGCCCTTCAAGATTGATTCTATTCATGTAAAAATATTTTCTTAGCTTTTTCTATCTGTGGTCTTTTTATATAACTTCTTTTGTGACTAACATCACTAAGCATCATTTGTCCCGGTGTGATCCATGTGGCACGGTGTTTGACAAAGCCCTCTTCAATTTTTAGTGATACCGAATGCTCCGTTGTACGGACGTAGCACAGCTTCTGTATCCATCGGTCCACTGGTGGGCACTGAGTCGTTTCCAGCTCTTTGCTGTTGTGAATAATAATGCTATAAACACAGGTGTGAGTACGTCTGTTTTGTGTTGCCGGTTAACTACTCAGTAATCCTTCTAAATATTTTATGATATGCCACATTAATTTTATATAGTCTGACTGCTCAACTCTTTTAGAATTTTAGAATAAATTCTTAAGCTAAAAGGGAAGAAGCTGATGTTCAGGGAGAGTGGTCCAAAAAGTGTCTCTGTTTCTCACCTTAGTGCACATTTCTTAATGTCCTTCTGCTGTCAGAAACTGAGATTCCGTTCCCCACCCGGTAACATCTGAATTTTATTCTCTATCCAGCTGTTAATTTTTTATGTGTCTCTAGAGAAAGAACAGGATTACTGTGCAGAAGTGTAGATGAATCACGTTATGCAGGGTGTAGAGAAGAGCAGCTTCGACTTTTCCAGTATGACTTTTTAGGTGATAGATTAAAATGTTAATTTGACAATGAAATTTTCAACACTATTTCATCGATACCCTTCGTCTGAAGATCTGACCAGACATTTTCTTAAAGAGAAGAATAGTACCTTTTCTAGCACCTCCTGGTGTCCCCTGAGTAAACAGAAGTTTATTGTGTCAGAAGAGCAGTCCAGCCTCGCGCACGGCCTGTGCATCTGCCCTCCACACACCTCTGTGATGCTTGATTATCTTGTTCCTTATAAGGAGTCACGTGTCAGCTCTGCCCACCAAACTCTGACATCCCCCCACAGGGCAAAAGCCATGTCTCAGGATGTTTGCAGCATGCACTTACATCCAGATGGTGCTTAATGGAATGTTTATAAATAATTAAGAAATGAAATATTATGTAGGAGCTTAAAAATTTGCCTTATTCCAGGAGAAGCTGGTACTCAAAGCATGTGTGGGCCACACAGCCTGACCTCTCTCTGACTCCATGGCCGAGTGTGGGCACGTGAGTGTCTCACTGCAGGGAAGCTGTCCACATTCACGTCTGGGAGCCATCCCTCGGACATCCTGTGGCCCTTAACAAAGGGCATCCTGTCTCTGTGCTTCAGTCTGAAAAATGGGAAAATTAGGGATACTTAACTCCTAAATTTATTGACAGATCCAAAGGAAAGAAAGACATATGCTAGGTAATTAGAGATAAGGTTAATACAGTGGCTTGTAAAATGTCGGATGAGTGTCAGAAAACATGAATGTACGTCCAGATAATGATAATTAATTAGGAGACCTTTGTAACTGGTCATGTCACATCTTTAACTCCTGGTTTCTCCGCGTCGACCTGCACTGTCTATTAGACTTTCCTGCAGTGATGGACACACTCTCTGCGTGCACTGGAGAACCCCAGCTAAGCGTGTCCACTAGGCACTTCACATACGGCTGTGTGACGGCCTCTGCTGGCCTCGTGGGTAAGGGGCTGTGCTGCCAACCTGAAGGCAGTTGGTTTGGAGCCGCCATCTGCCCCATGTAAGAAAGAAGGACCATCTCCTCCTGCTCTGTCTACTGCCTCTGAAAGCCCACCAGACGGTCAGCTGTGGGCCGGTTCCAATTCCCTGGCACATAATGACAGCAGTGTGACTAAATAGTGAGGTTTTAAATTAAATATTCATGGTTTTCCAATAGCTCCCTTACCAGACAACACAGACATATGCTCAAGAAAGTAGACTCCAACCCACCCACCCCCACAGAGGGGATCCTGACCCTGTTAGTCTTGCAGGACAGAGACGGTTAGCCCTGCGGGGTGTCCAGGGCTTAGATCTCTGCAGAAGCACATCTTTGTGCCACAGAGCAGCTGATGGAGTCAAACCAGTGACCTTGAAGTTAGCAGCTTTAATTCACTGACTTGTTATTGAGTGCCACCAAGTTAGAACCAACCCATAAGTTGGTGAGTTTTCAGAGCCAGTTAATTGCATGAGATGAGACTGCCCATCCTTCTCCCATGGAGCATCTGGTGGATTCGAACTATGTGCCTTCAGGACTACAATGCAGCTTCTGACAGAGAGAATTCTATTAGAAAGAAACCAGCCTGGGTTCCTCCGGCACAGGTGATGATGTGGTTATCTTTCAGCAGATAGCTGACCCCTTTTTAATAATGCTGTTCTTCCGTAACACCTTAGAACTTTAAAGTTGACGCTTTCCCCCCCCTCTTTCCCAACAGACCTAGAGAACTTTAAAACAAGAACTCGAAGCACCGTGTCCGTCCGTCAGGGCCAGGGAATGGTGCTCCTGTGCGGCCCCCCACCCCACGCTGGAGGTAGGTAAACGAGCCGGTGAGGGCATGCACACCCTTCCCTGACTGTGGTTTTCTTGTTGAATTCTCTCCCTCTTGCCACCAGCTCAGGGGCCAGTGTCATTTGTAGAGATTCCCAGAGCCCCTCTGTGCAGAAGAGAAAACAGTGAATCTCCTCCCTTCAGAAGGGCAGGAAAAAAGATCCCATTGTGCACATGCCCCCCGCCACTGTCTGCTGGACCAGGACAGTGGCAGCCGAATCACTACACACAGAACTGGGTAGCTTCTAACGCGCTATTACTAAATCTGTATTAATTCTTAGAACTTCACTGGGCTAAAAATGGCCCTCAGAATTTCTGTGGGCAGGTGATTAAAAAATAAGCGGGGGAGAGTGATGATGGTCTCGGGGCATTATGTAGGTAACCAGGGCCCCTGAAATGTACAGGAGATGGCGAATTTCCAGGTAAGGGTATTTTACCACAATTTACAAGCAGTAACAAAAAGATGTCCTTGCTTCATTTCATCTCTTGGTTGATCTGAGAAGGAATGAGACTCAGGTACCAAAGTCTCTGAACCACAGGATCACTTTGTGGAAACATTTGATGATTAGACCAGTTAGATATGCATTCACCTGCAAGTAACACAAAACCCCTCCAAGGGTCTGGAGTCCAGTGTTGTCAAAGGTGCGCAGTCTGTCACTGGCAGCAGCCTCCTGAGGTGTCCCCCAGGGCCTGGCCGGCTCTGTCCTCCTCCTCCGAGGCTCTCCGTATGTGGCAGGACCATGCACTGTTCAGTCTGCAGCTAGATGAGAAGTGGGGGCGCACAGGGCAACTGCTTCCAGATCTCCTTTTCAGTTCACCTTTGTGCTTTTGATGGGTGCTTCACCCCAAGAACTGATTGCTCCAAGTGGCAAGAGTGATTGAAAAAAAAAATCAGGTCTTTTTAAAAATGTACATAATGACTGTGGAAGAAATCATAATTGTGTTAATAAGGGAGCCTAGGGAGAGATGAAATATTCTGTAGGCAGGTAACAAGATCCTTTCTGAGGCACGACCTCTGGATAAAGGATGGGAGCGGCCCTGTGACATGGGCTCAGTTCTGCTGTGGTTGTCTGTGTAGGTTTGTGGTGGCGGTATTGTTGTGGTCTGATGTCAGCAAGCCGTCTCTCACCCTGTGAAGACCCCATGCCCTGCACAACCTCCTGCCCCTCCCATGATGCCACACCCACAGTTGCAGGCCTGCCAAGGGCTTTAATAGGCTGTGATAGTTATTAACATGCTAAGGTTTGTGGTGACAGAATTGGAACGTTCTCCTCATAGAAAGTCAGGCCGATGTTTTCATTTTGTGTCTTCTGTTCTTATCATTACGCTCGTTTTTCTGTCTGGTTTCTAAGCATGAGTGAAATAGTCAATTTTATTTTTTTTTCTATAATTATATTTTATTAATTTTCATAAACATGTACAGAGATTTTGGGTTTCCATTCATTCATTGTTGCACTATTCTCTCTACCCTCCTCCCAGTTTGTTCTTGTCCAAATGCCACAGTGCTTGTCAAAGCCAGTTCTGATTAATCTTCTTTGTTAGTGTGTCCTTTGCCATTCCCTATCACTCCTCCCTGAGAGAGACTTCACCCTGAGTCATAAGGAAAAGGGGATGGCGTATTCTCTTAGCTACTTCCTGCTGAAAAGGGACGCTGTGGGTTTCAGGGTGAAGATCTTCTCTCAGAATCTGAAAGTCATTTTTCATCTGTGTCCTGCAGTTTCAAGGTATGGGTTTTCTTTGTCTCTTCTAATAATACCCCAGCTGAACAACAGTCAGCAAAACAGCCAGAGAATTGACCCTGCCAGCAAGATGTCTGTAAAGAAGTTAGGAAAGGCAGGCACTTCTCCAAGTCTGGGTTAAAGGCATGGAAGTTTGAGAGTTCTGGTCCCCGCGTGGGGAGAGCCGTTTACATGCTCAGTGTTAGCTGAAAGGTCCGTGGTTCAGGTGCACCCAGAGGTGCTTTAGAGGAACGCCCTGGTGATCTGCTTCTGAATGCAGCCACCAAACCCTGGACTGTTCCTCTGGAGTTCCCGGGTCACCAGGAGTCAAAACTGAACCCTGGACCGTTCTGCCAGCACGCCTGGGTCAGCAGGAGTCAGAACCTGGCCTGGTTTTCAGAGACAGGGAAGCAAGGGTTGATTCCAGGGAGTTGAGATCTTCAAAATAAGCCTGTCCTCTTAGAATTGCTTTTCCCCCCAGATGCTCTGCCTGGAACTTAGATGTGAGTTCTGATTCAGCAGTCTTTCATTTCCTACCTGATACCGGGCAAGTGTCTTCACGTTCTCTAAGCCTCAGGCTACTTACCTAAAGAAGTGAGTTAAAGAAGCTCTCTCAAGGTCTCTTTACTACCATTCTTTTTTTTTTAATTATTATTAAATTTTATTAGTTTCAATGAACATTCACAGGGATTCTGGGCTTTCACTCCTTCATTGCCGCACCATTCTCT